AAATCGATCTATTAAGACTAATATATTTTTGTGGAAAAACAATACTTACGTAACTTCTTATTCACTTATATGAAAAAGCGTCACAACTCTGATAAGGGATGAAATTTGCGCTATGTTAAAATTGCAGTGCTCGAATTTTAAGAACTCATAACATAGATTTAAGGAATATAACACTATAATTGAAAGTATAACATGAGAGGAAAGTAAAATTATAAAAATTGCATATTTACTCTACCATAATTAAAACGTTCTAAACCAGAATGTTAAAAATGCTCTATTGACAAGTTGCTTAAGATGTGTCACTTTTATCATGCTTTTATCGCAGCGATATGTGTGTGAATTATGCGTGAGTAAGAAAGAGATACTGTCTCTGCCAAACGAAAGATTACTTACTTGGGCGCACCTGTCCTCACACAGTGAGTCGCACGTTGATTATAATAGCAATCTATATTTGAGTCTTTGTCACAATTGTAATCTGGAAGGAAGCGACCTTTGTCGTACAAAGCGTGATCTAGGATGCAAGGGCAAAGCGCCACTTCGGCGGCGAAGTTTTTGAGATATCGATCATGCATAATCCATTTGTCACAGATTTTCGCAGCCCATCGTGACCCATATTGCTGTTCCCATTGAGGCGCGAAATACCAACCGAGCGGAATCGGCCTGCTCCATAAGCTCCTATATAAGATTAAATCTTTAGACGCGATCTCAAACGAACCATCAGAATATAAATATTTTATCTTGATGAACCTACGGTGTTATCGATAGTCCGGAGTACAATTGCGGTTCGGTTAAATTGATTTGAATAAAGCCAAACACCATGTCCGTATGATATGGATTGTACTCGTTGTTGTATTTGGCTGGTTTGATGACATAATTACCAATATTGGTCTGCGATCTCTAAAATGTATATAACAACTTAATTTACCACTATTTTACTCTTTCACCATTTTGAATTGTCTCGTACAAACCTCCAAAACCGTTATGTACTCAAACTCGGGTGTGGTCTTGGTCTCTCTGTATCCCCATAAGGATATCTGTATTCCTGCTCCTAAGTTGGTGGTTAAATTATACGCGTTCCAAGTGATTTTTATTTCCTCTGGTTTCTTCAAATGAACAGCTTCCTTATCAGTAAAGAAAATCCTCTCCGTTGCCGTTGCTGGGGTTTCTATGAACGAAAGTTTTACGCTATTTTATTGCGGATAATAGAAACGCTTTATATTACTTCTTTATCGCACATAATTAATGTAGTCGAAGAAACATGTATACACACTTTAAAAAATATGGGGTATGTATTTAACATCATAAATCTTAAATATATTTATTCTCACCGTTGATATAAACACTAACATGGTATGAATTTAACATCATGGACTTAAACCACCATAATGTTAAATTCACATCATATTAGTGTTTATATCAACACGGTAAATTATACATATATTTAAAGTATAATCATGATTTAAAAATTCATATCTATATTTTTATATATAACACCAACATAAATGATATGGTATTTAATGTCATTAAATGTACATCATGTTGGTGTTTATATGGTGAGAATTGTATGAATATCGCATAATGTGAAATTTACATACGTATTTTTTAGAATGCATAGAAATGATTGTGATGTAAGAAAGAGAGAGAGAGAGAGAGATCTTACCGACGAAATATTTTCCTTTCCAATCGTAAGTGCCACTATCGATGGAGATATAAAAACGTATGTAGCCTTCGTACTTCAAGAACGGTTGTACGCAAATCGCGCGATTCCTGTCTACTACCGTGCCCATCACTACTTCGTTCTCGAAACGGCACTTGATCTTTTGACTCTCGTTGAAACACGGACCGGTGATGTTGACGACGGTACCTCCTAACATGTTTCCGGATTCCGGGGCGAAAACCAGCGGCAGATGAGCTCCAGCTGTACATCATCGCGCAGTGAAAATCGTCATTCTTTAATTAATAATTATTAAAAACAATTGCTCTTTTACCAATATCTTTATTACAGGTGCCCAGCATTATTTTCTCATCTATCCTAAAAATGTGGCGTCCTGGAAAACCATTGGCCCAGCCACGGCTTGTTAAATCACGGATCGTGGTCGCCTGAGAATAAGGCTTATACTCGTAGCTTTGAGTACCGTTTCCAGCATTAAATCCCACCTATGATGAATGAGTTTTGCAAGTAAATTTATGTTTTATCAGATGGATCTTTACTCTTTCGAAATAATTCTTATTTCGCACTGCTAGAATATTACTTTCCCAAACAACACACAAGTCTAGAAAACGTTTTTATAATGTCTTTCAGATATTTTTTTAATAAATATGTATATGTCTCAAACGTATGATGTTTTATGATATCTTTACTGACTTGATAATTAACTTGGGTCGCGTAAAATTGAAGTAAAATATAATATCATGTAAAACTTATCCTTATTCCGCGATTGCTTACAAATGCAGCGACTCCATTTTCTCCTTGTGTTGTATCACCGCCCGCTTCGGTATGACTCGTCCATTTAATGTTAAGGTAATTAAAGATAACATAAGTGAAGACTTCATCGGTAGCCAAAACCAGTTGAAATGTGTTAGTTGTATGAAGAGACAGGTCGATACCACCCGTGAAGGACATATTTTTCCACGTTGCAATAAAAGCGTGTTTGGGCACGAATGAATCGGCACCGACAACACCCTCACGAATGTCCCACATGACACGCTCTCGTATCTCTACACCGAACTGATCGGTCCTCGATTGCAAATCCCTCTCGAGCCTAAGGAACACAATTATTTTTCATAAATCTTTTCGACTTTTTCAGAAATCCACGTATGAAGTAATAAAAATTTTCAGAATGATGCGGTAATTTTTAAACTTTATATCCATACCTAAAATACACTCCCGGTTTCCTACGATCGATATCGTTTTCTCTTAACATTCCTATACGACATTTACTGAAGAAAATGCCGATGAAAGCAGGGTCATTCTTTTTAGGCCAATCTTTAATGGGGAAAACAAGAGGGTATGTAAGGTGCTCCGGTGGATCGCTAAACTCCAAGTATCCATTAACAGTTAACTAAAACGTTACACGTCATTTAATTATATTTAGCAGAGAACAAATTTTTATTTATCTCTTTTTCAATAACTCTGTATACGGATGACAAACATCCGGCAGAAATAAAGACCGAAACGTAAATAATATAAGGAGAGAGTTTTTAGAGAAGCATAAACGAAGCTTTTAGGAAACAAAAATTGAGACAATGAAACGTGAAAGAAATGTTTTTTTTTCATTGTCTCAATTTTCAGCTTCTATAGAAACTTCGATTATGCTTCTATCACTGTCCTCTAACTCGACTTACGTTTCAATTTTATTTTTGCCAATGGATACCGACGTTGGAATATTCGTTTGATGAATTTTTTAGATTAACGTATGCAGATATTAAGTATTTATGTTATTAGAAATTATATAAATAATTATAAAAGTGGTCGTACTCTTGTATAGTTGAATCTAAAACCGAAGAAAGGCAAGTGGAAATTCAAGTTTTTATGAATCTGCAGATTTGTTGCCTGTAGAGCTGATTGGTAATCGCCCTTATCATCGGTACCACCTTTATCGAAGTACCAATACATGAATTCAGATCGAATTTTTTCCAATCTATCTCTTGGTAATTCATAATACGGTGGATTGTCATCCGGACGAGGCGCGTATCTATTAGCGTCAGGTGAATCCGAATCTGTAAGTATGGACCGAAAAAAGGGATCCGTCACTTATTGCACAATATTAAATAATATTTATTGAACAATTATTGTAAATGTTTTTATTCAAACAATTAAGAACATCATTATGCAATTTCTTATATCATTATAATGTTAAGAATAAATATAACCAATGCGTTTGATTAACAATCAATCTTTAATTAAATCATTAATTCATACGAGTTTATGACTTATCAAAATGGCTCATTTGATCCAATGAATCATTCCCGATTCACATTAAAGTGAGTAACTGATAAACACACCGTATGATAAGCAATGATATGGATTTTCTTTTATAGTGCGCGAGGTAAAAAGTACATAGGAACTTGAGAATACGTTAGACTCGCGTCAGATTATTTTAAATGACCGTTTCAGAAATAGAGCAATTCAGGAAAAATGCGAAAAGTCGTTTCAAAACAGAAATTGATAGAAAATTGATTCCGCAACTATTGTTGCTTAATACTATACTGATTGCGAAACGATGGTCACACCCACTGATAACGGATTACTTACCGTATCTTACATATCTTCCATTCTTTTCGTTCGCTGTTCTACCGGAAGTTATTTGAACGGTGGGCAAATCCACCCCGGATTCGCCTTTTGCTGCAAAAGCATTTTCAACTTCCGTCAAAACTTGCACCGAACTTTCTACGTCGTCTTTCTTTTCAACGGGAGCTAAATCTTTCTCCTCCACAGCCAGATCTTCGGCCTCCAGAGGAACCTCCTTCGTTTGCGATGGTAAATCGACGTTCTCCTTCGTAATAAGATTTTCATTCGACTCAGGTAAATTCAATCCAAATGCACTTTCGAACGTCTCACTTTCATTTTGCGCGATAATACTACGTGGTGTTAATGAGAGAAGACAGACGAGAAGAAAGATCCATTTTAATAATGCGAAAATGCAATCATACGCACAACGAGACTGAACTCGGATTCGAGTAACAGGTCGCGATAACAGTTACTGATATCATCGGTTCTAATATGATAACATTATCTCTTTACTACAGATGGGTGCGTAGAACGAACGGGAAAATAAGGACCGGTACGTTCTACTTACAAGAAGGGCGTTGCCACTTACGAAAAAATGTTTCGCCGATAGAATGAAGTTAAATTGTTTACAACTTGTTGTCGTAAATAGATTGAAATTCATCATTTTAAAGGCAAATTATTTATTCAATTTTTGCAACTGTCATATTTACAAAGCAGATATTTTTAGTACGATTAGTTCGAAAATGTACTAAAATCTTTTTATTCTTTCTTGCATTCTTGAGGACGACAGGTTTTACAATAAAACACGTGCAGTATATAAGCAAATATTATATATGAAGGCTACTTCATCTTTAAAGTCGTATTACTTTTTTTACATTAACGCATCACTTACGGTATCCGTTATATGCATAATAAAAATGTATGATGCTCTTATATTAATATATTTTATATATTCAACTTAAAATCGCGGACAGCCTACAAACGGTGTACTTCCCTCCATTGCAGTTTTTTAAAATGTATATACGAATTTTTCGCGTTTAAAATGTGTATCGCGCTACAAATGCATCATAGAATAAATATACATATTAACAGTAATAGATACGTCTGCATAGTATAGGGTGCATTAATAATGTTCGACGAGTTCATATTCAACGATTCAATATTTTTTTACAACAAGAGAGAGAAACACATCTTTTCATTATTAATCGTATTATTCATATACGATAATGAGATGTATATCTGCTTAATGTTTGTAACAAGTTGCAAAAAAATCGGTTATTCACGAAATATTCCTGTAAATGTCGAACACATCGAACATTACTAATACATTTAGCTGTAAATTATGTTTGGTTTGGGTATGTGTGTTAAGCAATTTTCTCGTTTTCTTTATGCATCATTCGAGTAGTTATGTATGTAAGGATCTTAAAAGTAGGGGAAATTATGGAATTTTTGTACTGCGACGGTATCTTATATCAATATTGTCCAAATGTTTACAAAAAATTATATTACATTTTTTATGCTGTTCAATGTTGTAAATCTTTTCAATTGATGGTACGTATCACAGAAGAAATCTATAAAAGTCACAGAAAGAATTCAAAAGAATTAAAAAAAGGAGAGAGATCTTAAAGAGACACGTCTAAATTGTTTTTCGCGAATGGAACCTACAGCAATGATGTCAATATAATATTGCGGATATGAACCATACACTTCATCATTAAGTGAAAAGACTTTTTTATAACATTTTATTTGTAATGAAATAATCTCTCTGTTACGGTTGATTCTTTCTTTAACATTACGACGTCGAGGCATTATCTCCATTACTGTCCATATATCCGCCAGATCCGTTCATGACAAATGACGTTCCCAAACCATATAGATGTCCACAATACTTTGCATCATCAATATTATCTTCGAAAAACATCTAAAATAAAAGTCGAAAGCAAATTAGAACTTCACGTATAAACCTAGACATGATCAAAATTGAGACATAAAACGTTTTTAAACATCTTATATCCAGATTTTGACTCGCATGCTGTCTAAAAAAAGTAATATATATATTATTTTTATAATTTTATTTGATAAATTGTATATTATTAAATTAAATTTGGTAATTTAATTTAGCCGTTTTTATTAAAGTTTATACTGCATTAGCAATTTAATTTTACTTACTTCTCGCATCTTAAAAAAGACCATTCCAGTAAGAAGGGAATCGGAGCCGGCTTGATGCTGAGGACCTACTCTTTGAATTTCCAGCTGTTCTGCTACTTCTTGTAAACCGCCTTTCAAGTTCTTGCACGATTTCATTAAGTACTATGTAATATAAAAATAAGACGTTTTTTATATTTCGTTTATTCTTAATTAAATTTTATTTCTTTTTAAACAAAACAACTCACTTTTACATCATATATCGTCGGAAAGTATATCCTAAGAAGTTCGAAAAATTCACTTTCTTCCTGTGGCAATTTTTGATCCGTCAGGAGTTTCAGTAAGTAACCAAAATCGTAGCCAGAATGAAAGGATAGCCATTTTATGTCATCAACAAGAACAATTCCTGATGTCATTAATAGCTCAGCAAATTCTAAAGGATCGATGCCCTCCTCTTCATGTTTTTTGAACTGTATACCACTATTTTGTAGCATATCTATACTATCCTGTGCATACATGTCTTCACTAATAACAAGAAAATGTACACATCTTATCATCGGAATTATTTTAAAAAAAGTTAAAAAAAACTTTGAATATAATTATCTTAAACTTAAGAATTAGAGATATTAATGTTAGTAACATACACTTACTGTAAGTTGAATTTAAAATTAAATTGCCATGTTGTATAGCTACCGCCCGGCGTATTCCCCGATTCGTCAAGGAATGTGAGACCAAGTTGAATTATTCGTAGAAGATCTACATTGCAACGTAAGAGCTGGTATTGATAGTCGGCATTGGTTCTGAATTCTCCTGTTCCAAATAAAAAACTTGTAATTTGCACATGTTTCCGGAAATTACATTTCCGTTGAATATTCCATGGAACTTCTATTTAAAAAAATATGCATTCTTACCAATAGGCCTAGCTACAACACCTGGAAATTCTGTATCCATTGCGATATACTGATATTGTTGTACGACTTGACGAATTGTACGAAACTCCTCTTCTAGATTATGTCCCCATACATCTCTGATTCCACATTCTTCATTACTGGGCATATTCCCTCCTCCCTTTTGCTGCCCTATTTGGTTGGTCCCACCTAAAAGTTTTTCACAATAAAATAATATCATTAAATATTAAATATTGTATATAGAAATAATAAAAGTATTCAATGCTTCTTTTTTTATTCCTTAATTAACTAATTGTTAGTATAATATCTGACAAAATATATAGAATGTACCCATTCAGTTTTACAGACTGCTATCATAAGACTTGAGTACCAGGAACATGAAAGTGAAATTTTTATAATAAAAGTCTCTTTAATGAAAGTTCATAGAATTAAATATTCATACAATATTCATATTTATACAGAATTATAAATGCACATCCTCCAAAAATGGCTTCTTTATTTGTAATATAATTACATATTTAATTCTCAATCAATGGTAAATTTTTTAAACGCTAAATCGGTTGTATGAACTGTAGCTTCAAACAGATATGTATTCTTCACAAATTTTGCAAAAAGACACATCTTCTCTGGTACTGACAGTACGAATGCATGTTTTTCAATAGTTTCACATATACTAACGCAATGTCACGCGAGACTTCTGTCCTTTATTGCATCTATATTTTCATCCACTTGGAACTCGTTCTTTATCTACTTTGCTTCCATATTCCTGTAATGCGTATGTCTTTCGATTATCAACTGGATATATGAAGATTTCACTTTCAATGTTCCTGATCCAGTATACATAACTCTTAATCTATAAAGTGTTACCCAGTATCACCGCAAAGATCATATATACAATTACTACTTTTCTGTACGTTGCAAATAGAGATGAAATGTTCATCGTACACACCGGTAGCTGAAGGCATATTCCTGCATTCACCGGGGCTACACTTGTCTTCAAATTCCTTCTGTCACGGTCTTTCCTTCTTCATATCACTGGAAATTTGTGAATAATCGATGAAACAACCTCTTAAGTAACGCCTGCAAACTGTTAGTGACCAAGAGAAACTTGAAATGTCATCTGCATCGTATGGGGATACTACGTATCATCAGTAACAACAGCTAGCACTGGACCCTCAGTCACTGTTGCAGGCAAGACAGGTTATGGATCGCGGGTAAACAACAACAGTTCATCACAGTGGACGTTGCGCAAGGGTGAAACGCGGGCCAACGCGAGAACACGGGTGAACACGCGAGAAAACCGTGGGAGAACAACGCGGGACAGCACAACTCGTTATTTGTTAAATAAGTTTACTGGGGAACCGAGGGGGGTTATGTGCCCCCGGAGTAAGCAGAGAACGTCATCCACGAGGTGCACGGACGGCACCGCGCGGCAATCCGTACCTTGCAATATGATATATTCCTGGTCAGCAATGTCTGAGCGCAAAACGATTTAATCGAGGCTGCACCCACAATCTTGCCGTGTCAAATCATGAACGGTTCAAACGACTTCTTTACCTCACGAACTCAGTACGCGCGACGGGCGCTTTGATCGCTGGTATCAGAAAGAAACTTGAGAGAGGCCATCTCAACGTTTTATGCAGAACCGTAAAAATCACTCATACACTAGCGCCAGTACATCTATGATTTAGGAACTACGTAGCTATGTATCAATAAATATGTATAGTGCGAGTTCGTGATAAATCGCACAGTGCTAAAGTCCATTTTATTCCGACGTCGCGTATAATATATAAAAAAAAACTGAACGTCTCGTTTTCCATTTCATTTATATTTTATACACAAATGAGCATAATGATTATATTATCAAAATTTAATATCTATAATAATAAATAGAATTCAATGAAGTTGTAATGCTATAATATTTTGATTTGAAAAAAGTGATAATACGTATATTTTTATATTTGCGCAGTGTGTTTAAAATAGTTTAAATGATTCAAAATTTATACTTAAAATTATTTTTTTCTTTTTTTTTCTTTCTAAAATTTGAATTGAAATACAAATGTGTACCCATACAGCATAGAATTTATAGCAATATCGCTGCAAAATCTCTGCAATACTGCTGCAACATGCAATGTGTTGCTGCAACTTATGTGCAACTTTGTGCTGTAGGGGTAAACAAGTTTTTTCGGTAAACCTGCAATGTAAGCATTTAATTTTTCATTATTAACTTAAAACTTTGCTGTGTATTTTTTAAAAGATTGTTAGCGTATATAAGTTCGATCTTTCTTTCGTACATTGTTTACGATCCCCGGTAAAAAATTTTTCATGCATGAATATATATAAATATGTATAAACATACATAACATACATAAATATTCATAAATTTATGTAATTATGTATGAGATATGTCCATACATGTTTATACATTCTCCTTTAGTTTGTAAAATTACTTTTTAGTGTACTAAAAATAATAATAATAATGAGAAAACATCAAAAATAATTAAAAGGAAAATTTTCACGTTGTTTGTTTTAGAAAAAATCAAGTTTGGAAAAATGTAAAAGAATTGCTCATAATATACAGTTGTATGTAAAATTATACATAGTTATGTATGAGCAAATATTTTTACATTTTTCCAAACTTGATTTTTTCTAAAACAAACAATGCGAAAATAACCCCATTAACTGTTTTTGATGTTTTCTCAATATTATTATTATTTTTAGTACACTAAAAAGTAATTTTACAAAAGAAAGAAAGATGTATGGACATATTTCATGTATAATTATTTATGATTATGAATATTTATACGTGTTTATGTATGTTTATACATATTAATGTATAAAAAATTTTTTACCGGAGTTCGAACGCATTTTTCGCAATATTAGTTCGGTCGAAAATCATATGACGGGTAGCGCTGTCGTGCTGCCGCGTTTGAAGCGTGAAGTTAACCGCGTACTGGAGACGAATTAAGCCGCTTCACTATTTTGATCGCATTTACGTTTCGTTCGCGCTGCGAAACGCAAAAAGTAGGGGAAAAAGTAGGGGACATGGCGAGACGGACCGGCTCTAACGAGTGACAATGCGATCAAATATGGTAATTGAAACCTAAATTTAATATTTAATATTGTCCATATTTAATTCTTTTTTTATATTTAACTACTGCGTAACTATAGATTCGGTATTCGTATACTGATAATCCGTTCCCCAGTGAGAAATGATAATGGAATCGACATCGATTTCATTTGTCATTTCTCACTGGATCGAACGCAAAACTTATTCAGTCGAAAGTGTATCGCGTAAATAATTAACAATTAGATTCTCGGATATCAATCTACATATTCATACTTTTTACATTTACTTGCATTATAATACGAAATAACAACCATCATAGCCGTGCGTATATTATCTCGAAATACGGAAATTTTTTCGGACGTTAAAAATTAGACACGCATCAGCGTTACTATGGCTGCGTTCCGTTTCTCGCATGATGCGCATGATGCATCATTTATTCTTGTTACTCACCAAATATTAAACAAGGATAAATGATACATTATGCGCATCATGCGAAACGGAACGCAGCCTATGCCATGTTGCCATCGCGTCACTCCTGGCGCGCAAAATTAACCGCGCATTAAAAATGAAAACTCTTCTCGCCATCTTAATAATTACATTCACTCTTCATTTGCAGATCGTGGTGAACAATGGAACGAACCAGCTCCGAGGCTATAGTGGCATCGTGATCAAATGGTAATTGAAACCTATTAAATTTGTATTTGTCGATTATTGCAACATTTAATTCGCATACTTAATAGATTCGGTATAGATATTTGTAATTTTATATTTCATTTCTTAAATTATAATTTTCTTAAATTATAAGTATCTTATTTCAAGTAAATATTATAATATAAATAGTAAATACAATTTGCCTTTTTTATACTTATACGCAAAATATTTATATTTTAAATAGTAATGTTATACAGGGTGTTAGTATGGCAACATACTTAATTAACACCCTGTATAGACGTATCCTTTAAATAAATATTTCTATTGAATCTATTTCAATTGTTTCCCTTTGCACTGAAAAATATATATTTCTTTATAGATATTTTTCTGATAATTCCAAAGAAGTCCCATGAATTTTAAAACATTATATCTTTATGTGTCTTAATGTTTTCTAGGTAAATAAAATTTACAGTCGATAATATAGCTATACATGCTTCAAAACTTGAATAATTTTTAGACGTCGATCTTCAGATAACAAAAAACGTCTTGAAATAAACGTCATTAAGTTCATTTCAAGACGTTTTTTGGACGTACATACATCAGACATATACGTGTTCTTTGAAATTTGGAAATTTAAACAGTGTACCGCTGGGTCATAGTAATAATCTGATTTATCGGCTCAATGTAAGTTAAATGGAATCGATAAATCAGATTACTACTATGACCCTACTGGGGAAAATAGAAATAGAAATAAATAAATATATTTTTTTCACGCAGTGGAGGGAAATAGTTGAAAATTTAATAAATTTAATAAAAATATTTATTTAAAGAATGCGTCTATCGAATTACTATTTGAAATATAAGTATTTTGCGTAGTAAATATAAAAAATAGTATTTACTATTTACAATAACATTTATTCGAAATGAGTATCTGCGGATTAATATGCACTATACTGTATAACGTATAATGTAATACGTACAGTGCGAATCCGAACCATGTCTGTGTACTAATGCCCTCTCGACAAATATTGCATTACTGTGAGAAACCACAAGCCAGAGAAGACGGATAATAACAGGGAAATACCTGTAAAAATATTATTATTTTTATTGATATTAGCATGATTTGATATTTATTTATTATAAACACAAAGATCGGTAAATAATTTTATTGTGAAAAATATTACCTGGACCGGGGTTCAAACTCCAAATAATATATAAATTTTTCCGTTTTATTCTTCATTATTCCTCATACATTACGCTGGATGATTTCTTCGCAATAAAATTGCTTCGCGATATATGTTGTGTCTACTACATAACTTAAAGCAACTTCCTCTATAGAGGACTATAGTCTATCTCATTCATGCAGGAAGTTATTCTAAGTTATGCAGATCACAAAGTGATCGTCTTTGCCGCTGTAAATTGAAAGGGCCGGAAGCGATCAGGTGTACACTGACGGAAGCTAATATTTTTCTATCAAAAATGTAATGATGGCCATAAATTGTGACAACGTGATTTTGCGGCATCAAAATAGAATGTAATAATATTTAACGTCCGCTTTCGATTTGGGATTATACTTTCTGTATTTTACTTCAAATACATTTTAAATACGTTCTCATATAATGTAATAATTTCTTAATGGAACAAAGTATCAGGATATGTACTAAATACACAGATACAGAACAAAGCACAAGTCACAGTCTATTTACTGATTTGATAATAATAATGTAGTGAAAATATAATATATTTAACATTTAATACATACCCAAGCAGCAAAGCAGGGCATCTTGACCAAATCAAAGTCAGGTCACCCTAATTAAGTGAAAAATTACTAATTTTTGACATAAAAAACGTCTTAGCAGTTAAATATTGTTTGAAGTCTTCTGTACAGGTCGAAAATTACGAAATTTAAACCTATAAAAATGCCTTCAAAATTTAATGACTTCAAAGTTATACATTAGCTTATAAATGACTAAATTTTGACCAAAGCTATGCCTTCAAAGTCGATTTAACTTATAAGTCAAAATTAAAGCTCTGTTTGAAGGAAGTGTGACCTGATTGTATCACCTAATTTCAACCTCATAAGCGATATGACTTAATTGGTTAGGATTACCTAATTTTTTACTATATATAAATCGTTTGTGTTCTTGACTAATATAGGGAATATCTAAGGCACGAAATAAACCTTGTGGTCGCTGGAAATTAACTACAAAGTTGAGATTACCACGGAAAATGACTTATAAGGAAAATTGATCTAAGGTTAGGTCAAAATGCCCTGCAAAATTTACCCTGAAAGTTAATTATTGGTCTTGGACCTTATTAAAAGTCGCCATCCTGTTTGCTGTACAATCGCATCAGTTATTTTCTCTATGTTGATTATGAAGGAGTAAAAAATCGCTTGTTCAAGCAAGACACGTTTTTTTCTCTGTGCTGAGTGTTGTCATGAAAGGTTAAAATTTTTAAAAGCGTGATCGCGGCTTTGACCGTATATAATTATAAGTTAGGTTAAGTTAATTCCGTGATACATACTTACGATCGCGATGTAGCAGACATTTTTCGATATGTATCGATCCAGCGATTTCGACTTTGAGTCAATCTAACTTATAAATAGGGAAATTTGACTTGTTAGTCAGAATGCCTTAATGGTCGACAAGATGACATCAAAGTCAACGATTTTGAAGTAAAAATGCCCTGATTAAGGAAATTTACTCTCAAAGTTAGACATTTAGCCTTAGCAGTAAGGAAATTCGACCTATAGGTCAGTATTTGGACGAAAACATTAAATCAGCCATTATTGTAAGATTGTTCTGTCCGCCATGATATACTAAAACGCTTTCTAAAATTGAGCATTAATAAAAAATAAATTATATTATATCTCTCGGAATGTTAAGGATTGAAAAAAATATCTATTTTATGCTACTGTTAGCGTAGGTGCGAGATTAAAACATTTTTATTATACTAAGTGCAAAAATATATTGTTGTTAAATAATTAACGATTAATTAATAATTGTTTAAATTATATATTTTCGCAGGCGCGTTGATTTTAACGAAGTAAACTAAAAATCTGTATAGAAAATTTTCTTTCGCACTTATATTTCTGTCACGTATCATGCGATATTCGGTTTCAGAACCGACGTAAAGAAGGACTCTGTTACTATTTTATTTCGAACTTCCATGGCTGGTCGGAACCATATCAAGCACATGTTATAGCTGTAGTGTGATTCTCCGTCTTGGTAGAATTATTATGGAAATGTACAGTGTTGCCCTCTCGGCGACAAACACTGAGTCGTCGAAAGAAGGGAGGGCACAAATTGGTCAGAATTAGGTCAAAATTACCAAAATATTACCGATATTCGACCTTTTATTAGGTTTATTTGACCAAATCGGACTATGACTTATAAGACGAAATGCCTACCATTACTTAATTTCGACCGTAAAATTACTTCAACTTTATTCCCCACTTACCTTCTTTCGACGTCGATTCGACGTAAATTGGGATTGGTCAAACAGACTTTTCAACCTATTAGAAGGTCGAATACACGTAATTTCGCCCTATTTTGCTGCTTGGGTAAATAATTAGATCATATATGCGTTCTGCGCATTTTTTTTTAGATTATAGGAGCACATCAAAAATAATTATAGTTATACATTTATATATAATTTATAAATATAACCTTACAAATATATTTTCTAAGGATATTAAAGTATATGAGAATTTCTCTCTCTCTCTCTCTCTCTCAGTATAATTATTATATACTCTCATAAAAGTGATTATTATAATATACTCTCATAAAAAATTATTATATACTCTCATAAAAATTATTATATACTCTCATAAAAATTAACCTAGACACAAATAATTCATCGTGTACAGTAAAGGATTGGAATTTTTGAAACTGTGAAATACATATTCTTCATATTCGTATCTTTAATATTATAGGAAAGACAGAAAAAAAAGAGAAAAAAGAAGAGATGAGAAATTACAAGCATTAGTCTTTATTTGTGTTAAAGTATCCCAAGCACTTATTCGTTCATATACGTTTTACATACAATTCCTAAATATTCCTATCTAATATTCTACATTAAAAACTTGTAGAATAAATACAGGAATCGTAGGAATCGTATATAAACCGACATGTGCTACTGGGGATTATATTAGACACATTGTTGTGTGTTCACATTATTGTGAACACACAATAATGCGGAAACAAGGGCTCTTTTTGTATTCTTATCATGTACATTTAATTATATTACGTTACTAGAATTATAATTTCTATTACACAGTAAAAAAAATTGTGTATTTGTGTTGGAAACGGTCCACTCACGTTCTGTGTTAACAGCTTGTGTTGAATTTTTTAACATATTCGAATATTAATTTAACATAATGTGATTATATCATTAAAAAATTTTCTGTGAAATTGATATTTAACATTTCTTAGCGTCAAAATGACATAATTTATGAATAAGTGAGCAAGTAACATAAAAATAATGTGTTTTAAAACATTAATTCTAAGAAAATGAATAAAATACGTATTAATTTAACATATTATAAATGTTAATTTTCTGAAAAGAAATGATTCTACAGTTTGTTTATAAACTATGTCGATATTACTTTTTTTTTGTATTTATTCTCTTACATAATATTTGTGTAACCTTCTAACATATTCATCTTGTGTTAAATTAACCCGAAAGCAAACTTTTGGGTTAATTTAATACAAGATGAATATGTTTTGAGTGGTCCATTTGCGACATGTGATTTATGTTAAATTTGATACATTTTTTCCAACAGTGTATTATTAACCCTAACTATACACACTAGGGTCCTAAAAACCCCAGTGCAATTTGCTAAATTGAGATTTTTTCGTGTTTCTGAACTTTTTTTTCTTTGAATTTATACGAAACTCCTTAATTCTATCGACCTTTACTTATCATGGACTTATTCCTTAATCAATTCTCCATCGATTGAAAAAAAAAATGAATTGAAATATGTCCATTTTTACGGAAGTTATGGTAACAAATATGGATAGGGTCCCAGGGTGTGTAAGGGTAAAAAAGGAGTGTGTGTATAGCTAGAGTTGAAATAAAGTGTAAAATAAATTTCTTATTAAATCTGTACTTTCTTGACATTTTTATCCATCGTTATATAGTTTTACATGTCAATTCGCACCCAGTCATACTTTCGAAATTGTTTGCGTTTGCATGACAGCCAGTATATATGAATTGTTCGCATTGTCCGGAAGCTGAATTGTACGCGTATCTCGGTATAGCCGCTCTACAAAAACCCGGTTTCACAGGCAACAGGCATACTAAAATAAACATGAATAATGTGTTAAATTTTATGCACAAATCTCTTTGTCAAAGTTCTCATTATGATATACGAATTCGAATTTAATAACTTTAATTCTTTTGCACTTAGCTCAAGTCTACGCGGAATATACATTTTAATAAAATTCGAGTTATAATTAGGATATTGCAATAAGTAATGTAATAAAAAAATGTCATGTTTAAAAAAAGAGTGTTTACTTGATGGATATAATTGCTCAGATGTGATCTCGTGCGTTAATATAAAGACGATAATAAACACAAATAATAAACGTAGTTTAAGATTCATTTTCGCGTGCATTATACAATATTTATATACTTCCACAACACTTGCGTATGAATACTTTTTCGAAAATCTCGTTACTGACGATTAGCTTGCACTAATATGAAAGGTCGTATATCTGGAAATTGCTTCTATATAAATCGTGCTTTAGCGAAAGAGGGGATTATCTTTATACGTAAGTAGGTTATATAAAAACCTAATCTTATTTACGTGAGTTTCTTAAATATGTAGATATTGTCATTTATGCAAAATTAACGGCATTTTTATTTCATACAATCAGCAGGGTTTATCATTTTCTGTGCATTGACCCATACAGCACCGAAGATTTTCAGAAATATCTCAGAAATGATTCAACTGAAAAGTGAAATATTTCATAAAAAGTGGAACAGCAAAATGTCCGTGATTTTTGCACATAAAACCTTGTTGAAAGATTGATGAAATGTTACAGAAAGAATCTGCAATCTTTTTGAAATATTATCAAAAAGTTTTCAGCTATTTTTAGTACTTCAAAAATGATATTTAAATATATACTTGATTGATACTTAAATAATATTTAAATATCATTTTTGAAGTACTTAAAATTTATTAAGAGTTTTAATTTGTTTACAGATTATAAACTTATTGAAATAAACTTAAAGTATTTCTCAAAAATGGTAATTATATCGCCAATCATTTTGATTAATTAATTACATTATATATGTATAAGCACATATACATAATCACTATTAGAAAAATAAAAAGTCACTTACACCTGTAGTTTCTACACAATATCATTATTCATGTACAAAAGTTTTTCGAAATTAAAGCAGAACAAGTCATTCATATACAAAAATTTTTCGCAATTAAAGTCGAACAATTTACGATAACATCAAAACTGATGACATTAAACTGAATCTTGATTAATCAAAAAATGATTTTTATTAAACATTTTGGAGCCATTTTAACATCATGATGATTTTTTGTTCTGTTTAAATATGTTTTTCATGAATAAGTTATCGCAACAATAACCACATGGAAAAAAGTATTAATGGCAGAATTTTTAATTACACGTATAACCGATCTTATTCATCTGACAACAACAAGACGCTTACGGCTCATTTCCGTCACGGTCAAACGCAAACCAATTGCCTAACCTAATTTGTATATCATAACTATAGATATGTATGCATATACCAATGACTTTTACACTTTGCATCATAACAAGAGAAATCGTGTCTTCTAGTATTTATCTAAGGTCTCACATTTATAGTTGCGAAGAACTTGAAACCAATTTTAAAACATGATATACTTAATTCAACGTATAAATACAACTTGATATTTCTGACATAGTCACATTTATAATCTATTCAAGTGAAAAATTCAAATGATATTTGCTTTCAGATATGATTTGAGTTTTATTTCTCATTTAATAATCAAGAATATTGTTGCGCATAGATATTACAAGTTTTTTTATTCCATATCAGTTAAGAAAATTGCACATTACTCAAACGTAGTCCGAACTAAAAATATAAGAGTGAGTTTAAATATTCTAAATATTATTTTTAGATTTTAAATATTTTAATTTGCATCAGATACTAATTTTGTTTCAGCATTACAAAAGTAACTGAATTGTAACGAGCCGTTACTTTTTTAAGTAATGGTAATTATAACGAATTACTTTTGAGAATCAATAACTAGTAACGGTTAGTTAGTTATTTTTTTTCTTCTCGGACTAACGAATATCAATAAGTTAATTACACTGTTGGAAAAAATGTCAAAATGTGTCAAATTTATAATAACAATCCTCATGTTACAAACGGTCCAATCAAATTTTTGGGTTAATTTAACACAAGATGAATATGTTAAAAGGTTACACAAATATTATGTAAGGGAATAGATACAAAAAAGGTAATATCGACATAGTTTTAAATGTTACATCATAAAATCCGTGCGACAGGTTCATTTCGGGGGCGGCATCGATTAAATGCGTCGGTTATCAGGAGGTTTACGAAATTAGTTTGCTGCAAACTCCGAGGCGGGTGTCAGGTAGCTGACGGTAACTTCCGCCGCTTCGAATACGTAGCAGTTTCTCCCTTCATCCCGCTTTTACGAGCGATACTATCGCGTACATTATCCTATCGTGCGCGAAAGCGTCATTCTCGATGCATTAACCATCACATATAGTTTCTTGAGTCACGACTTGTTGTTACATGGCGCGTGTCTTACCTAATAAAGCAGAAACACTACGAAAGTATAGAACTACAGTTCTGAGTTGAATCGCTCTCGCGATCGCTCGTAAAGTTTTGTACTACGCTTTGGTTTTTGTTAATTTTTCGCACTAGAAGAAACTTTTACTTTTTTGTGACCGTTCAGGAATCGTTTTATTTCTACATTTATAATATATAACGTATATATATTTTTTTTATGGAAAAAAAACCGAAAATTATAATAATGACTTCATACTCAAGGAAAAATTGGTACATTGAAATAAAGAATAAAATCCTTATTTTAACATTCGTTACAAAATCGCTGTTAGTTATACTTTAATCATGTAAAAATTAATTCAGAGTTGTTGATCCAGCTGCAAACGCGTCTGATCAGTATGTGTCCCCCATATAAATGTCCGAACGTGATAATAAGATGCGTCCTTGGAACATATATAAACGGAAGAGGAATTGAGTTCTGAAGTCAACGTATGTGAAAGAGAGAAAGCTATTAAGTCCCAATTAACTGTAATGCGCATATGCCACTTAGCTCATTTTCTTCTGTACCACTTCGTTCTACTTTGTTGTCAATATGTAAGAAATCTTAAAACAACTGTACAGCTCACACAGACGACGGTCTGTGCATTCGCATTGCGAACATTTGGGATTTTCTAGCTTTCTCTCTCACACAGATATTGGCTTCACGCTCGATGTATGGGCGATACATAGGCAATTCTCCTTTTATTTATATATGTATTAAGGATGCGCAGCTTCTGTCCATCTTTTGTACGCAGCCCGTGATATTCTAACTATTTCTTCTTATAATTTGAAAACTAAAGATTTGTTCGCATCGTTCTAACATACAATAGGAAATAAATGCCTTCAACGGTCTAGCTGGATCTTAAGTGCTCTTATATAATTCTGTGTGAATTTATATACTACGTATGTAGTATATAAATCCTTTAAACTGCGCATTGAAATGATTTTTCGGTCTTGAAACGCAAACTCTACTAAATTACCGCAGTAAATAATATCACGAGTTAAATTGACTAGCAATTTAACAATTCGATGCACTTAAGCATCTTACAATTAAAATGATCTTAATGCTGAATGACACATTAAAATCTATAAATGATTAATTCTTATTGCAAAAAATATTATACGGAATGTTAGAGATCCGGGTTCGACTCCCGACTGAGGTAATATTTTTCGCTTATGGAAACATCAAAGCGTTTATGAAAAAGAGACAACAAATTTTTTAAAATTTATGCGAATCAAGTACATTATAACAAAATTTTTCCTTATCTTTTAAAAACTTTCTCCAATAAAGTCAATTTTAAAGTATGTCTCTTATTTAAGATACGTTTATCGTTTATGTATAATTTACCTTATTTTTATCTAAATAATTTAGAGTTATCTAAGTGGGACATTGTAAATGTATAGAAATCTTATTAATTATGAGTGTCCTATTTCCTCAAACTTAAAATTTAAGTATCAGTAGCAACACTATATCACTGAATATCGATAACATCCTAGTGTTAAAAATACGAAGTAATCACAACTTTGCAATCTAGCAGATGATAACGTATCTTTTCGCTATACACTGTAGTTTCTCAGAGATTAGTGAAATGAAGGAGCAATATTGGTGACGTTTTGTTCTCGAAAATACACGGAGCCATTCTTGATTCTCTATTAGCATGTGTGATATTACATATATGTTTATGTATAGCAATGTTATAAAACGACTCAAAGTTGAGAGCATTATCATCGTTAAAATGTGTAACCTGCATCGTAAAATCACGCGAATTGTATGTACAGCGCGATGCGCGTAACTTCGGCGACGAAACGAATACAAATAGAATGATAGCGATAATACCGCTTCGTGCCTCGCAATCGATACCTTCATGATTTAATGAATGTCGGTGGTATACCGGTAACGGGTGTTTTACGATAATATTATACAGTTCGTACCGTTGCGGTCCCACGCTGCGCCATTGTCTGAATCGGTGGAACTAGACTTCCTTACCTGGCTATTGCGACGAGCATTACTCTTGTCTAAACAATGCACGTCGTTCGGGTAGATATTAATTGCGAATTGCCTCGCGGTTAGCTCCGAGAAAATATCCGGTTGCGTACAATGGACCGTAACTTCGGACACGAATCATCCGATTTCGGAAATGTATTTTTAACTTCGCGTACTTTCGAACAGTTTCGAACAGTTTCCATAATAGTGGAAATACGAGAACTCCCTTAATATCGACGACATATCCGCTTACTGAGAAGAGCGCATAGAAATACTGCCGTCAATTGTGTTATACATCACTGATATTTTACTTCGATTATTTATTTATTAATTATTCATGAATATTTATTTATAAATATTTATAAAGAAAGAAAATGGATGATAACTGTCGACTCTATATTTTTATTGAATTAACGATACTCGGTCAGCTTAATTCTTGATCTGAGAGTCAAGCATGTGTGCACGAAAGTCACATACTCTCAGGTTGCTACAATAATAAGATTTATTGCTTCTGCGGCGATCTAATCCAACGGTACCTATACAGGATTCTCTTATCTGGCTCCATACTGGCTCCCCTTGGCAAGTAAGAAGATTATCTTTGGAGCTTTCCGGAGGAAAGCTCTCGTTAGGTAAGATGCGATATCATGGTAATTATAGAAGCGTAGCTTCAATAAGAAGCATACGAGCACGCCGATGCGGATACTAACTTTTTGCTCTTCTCGTAGTAGGTTTTCTACATAATGGAATCATAATTGCTATTGCTTATCGCAATATCATAATTATTATCGCTTTCTCATTATTCATAATTATGACAATGCGTAATTAGCGGCGCGATGTAATTTTCATTTGCTTTTAAAGTCGCTTAAAAAGTCGCAGGTGCAGGAATATGATAAGGCTAAAAATTATTATGTCCAAATGCTCTTAAAAGTAACTCTTAAGGCTAAATTCATCCCGTTCGTGATTTCGGCAAGAATAAAAATATCACGAAACTCAGGAGAACAGGTGCAATTTTTCGTCTGGCGTTCAAGGCAAGCCGGTCGCCACCTGTTTCAATACGATCCCTACTCGAAGAGCTCTTGAAAAATATATTCGTTCTTAGCTTCGGCTTTATAAGGTTGACCATTATCTCATTAACTGGGTCAGTTTCATCTAAGTAATCTTAGAAATGGAGAATATTATTACAATTTTACTACACACGAGAGTTAAAAATATTACTATCCATCTGTTTTAAAAATGGAAAGAAATTATTCAAACCGAAAATAATTTTCTGGTTTTCGTTGACTGGAAATTGAAACTAAATAATTCAATATATTTGATAGAGTCCGATCGAAATAATCCATGGGAATCTTAAAAAGGCCATATGTATAAGGCGCGCATATGTACGAGTATGTGTATATACCATATACTTCTTCTCCATAAATATCACCATTTCATTGAAACAATAATTATACATATATCGTCACAATCCTAATATTACAACTTCTAATATTATCACAATCTGTATACTGATAGGAAAAAAGTGGTTGCAATTACCTAATGTAAATATAATTTATTGTTACTTTTAAGACAACTATATGTATATTTATAGTTGTTTTAATCATCCAAATACAGTCAACTGTGCTATTAATAATAGTTACACTCACTGCTTAAAAACCTTTAGTTTTTTCTTAATATTTTATTATTAATTACCACATAAACAGTGAGTAAATTTAAAAAAATAATTATATTCACTATAATTGCGATTGCATTTACCGAATAAAAATATTTAGTTTATTTACTTTATTTATATCTTGATATTTTACTATGTTAATATTATATTTGAAATCATAATTTATAGTATGATATTTTTATATTTGAAAGAAATATTATGGTTATTATTACTAACATTATAATAGTAATAATTAAATAAAAATTTAAACAAGTCTTTAGAAGATCTGTAGAAAATAAATATTCGCATGAAATAATTTTTAAGTAATAAATGCTTCTTACAACTTAATTTTGGCTACGTCGCTGAAACTCCCTTTCAATTTTATTGGCCAAAATCAAAATCTAACCGAAACTTCAATTTTTAGCCGAAACTGGCCGTAACCGAAACCGAAATCGAATTTTCAGTCGGACTCTGTCTGGATAGTCTGTGCCTGTGAAACATATACGATATAATCTCTGCTGTGAGAACTGAATATGTCTTACGGAATAGTTATTCTATGATAGCAACATGATATCGATAGCTAAATTTAATTGCGCTAAAGTGAAATATGAGAAATATATCTGAAATAATACTGAAGGTATTATTTCAGATATATTTCTCATATTTCACTTTAAATCTAGGATTCTATATAATTTCCCTTCAAGCAAGTAACTCGAGACATTTCGTACCTGATTATTTCACAGGAAGGAAAGGAAATTGAATGTCGATTACCAAGATAATATTTCTCCTGAGGTACAACTATTCATTTAACTTGACTGTAATCCTTTCTGTTAAGCTCTCTTTTTGCGAACCTCTTATTTTAAATTTCCGTATATAGTATACAATACAATTTTTCGCATTACATGGAGATATCGTCGAAAATCGAGACCAACAGTTTTGTAATGATTTGAATAACAAAATATGATACATTTTCGTATCTTTTTTATCATGTTGCAGAGTATCGTCTTATTATTTTTCTTAATTAATTGCATATATGTGTATAAAATTACTCGTTTAACTTGTTCGCAGATAATCGAGCTTCACACGGCTGCAAAGTCTTCGAAGTTGCTTGCACCTGATTTACAGCTTCCTCCTGCATGGACGGTGCACCAGCAGCAACAGCAGCAGCAGCAGCAGATAGCGTCGGCAGTACCAGCAGCAATTCAGAGCACGGTGAATTGTGCTGAGCTCATGCTGGCAAGACGACGTACGAGTGATTTGCATGCAAGCTCACAACCCGTGGGAGGAACGGACATAATTTGGCAGGTAGGTAAGCCGTTCGTTCGATCGGTGTGTCGCTTGTGACGTTTGGTCAACGGCAATTAACGGATCCCGTACAACTCGTGTCTCTCGAATCGTGGTGGCAAACGATGCCAGTCGAGTGAGGTTGCTTCGATGAGAGACCAGGTGCGACGGCGCTCGTAGGGAATTACCATGTACGCGCTGTTCCAAAGATTTGTGCGATACGGAGGTGGAGCATAATTCAATTATGTATATATATATGTGTATATGTATGTGTAATATATTCTATATATATATATATGATATTTAACGTAATTGAAAATTTCATTGTAAAATTCAATGAGCATAATCAGTAGAGGAGTTTCAAGTGAAAGATTTAAAATTTAATCTGAGATTTAATTATGACGACACTGCAATATAGAAAATTGAGATATTAATTAAAAGGTTGTATAAATAAAAGTACTCGTTACATTTTCGAGAAGTGGCTGTTAAATTTTAATTTAATTTTACAAACGAATAAAGCTCATTTGTGAGATTTACAGTTGCGTGAAGCTACGTGCGAACGACACAACGACGGAGCGTTTGCGACAAAGCATGTAGCTTTGTGGAAATGCAATAGTTTGCAGCAGAATTTCATCAAATACTGAATAAATACATTTTCTCGACCGCAAAATGTATAGCTTGTCGATGGCGAAAATCAAAATTAATTAAAGCTCTTAATTAATTTAATGCATGGCAAACGAATGGCGCATTTTCATAATTTGTTGCTCATCAAACGTGCCCCAGCGCTACATATCGTCCAATTTGTGCAGCATCATTAGTATGCTTACTCTATATTACACAAATAACATATCGATAATATTACGTCCGAAACAATATCTCACGACAAATGTAGAGAACTGCATTACTTCCGATATACCCTGTCACACATTCAATCGCGAATATACATGACAAATGTTGATTATTTAACGCAATCTCGATAACGACCTAAGAGTCAATATATATGATAATGCATGTAAAAGTACAGAAAGAATAATTTTACTCAAATATCAAAATTTAACTTATATATGTATAAATATAGATCTGAAAATCGTTTTGTTGGACCATCAAAATACGAGGGTCGTTTGGTAAATTTCTATGAGATAGTGTTATAATCCATTCGACGGTGACTGCTAAAAATTTCCGCTCTTCAAATTCCTTCAGGCCAAATTTTAGCCAGAAACAACGCATTGTTCACATTTGGTAATACCTTGAAGCGAACGATTTAGCAGTTGTCACAAAAATAAAAAAAAACGAATTCTATACGTTTACACAAATTGGGCTTCGAATTGATTCCTCATCCACCCTATTCTCCGGATTTGGAGAACGTGCGACTTCTTCCTGTTCCCAAATTTGAGCCCAATTTGTGTAAATTGCATTTATTTTTTCCATAACAACCGCTAAACCGCTCGCTTCAAACGAGTACCAAACGTGAACAATGCATCATTTCTGATGACTGGCATTTGGCCTGGAAGAGTTTGAAGAGTGAAACTTTCCAGGCGTCACGTTATCAAACAGATTGTGTCACTATCTCATAAAAATTTATCAAACTTATCAAACGATCTTCGTAATTATGTAAGACGCTCAACCTGATTGCTAAAATACCAAAACTTTTTACAGTATTGCTCATCATATTCGAGTTTCTTATATAATTATTTTGATATTTTTGAAGCTTGTCCAATAAAATTATTTTTAGATCTACGTATACCTAAACATTTTAGATACTTCAGTAAAATTTTTCTTGTGGACATGGTACGTGAGATCCATTTCTTTTTTTTTCTCATATTCTTAGATCGTTAAAGAAGTGCTAAATGTTCAAAAACTCGATAATTGATCGTCATTCGTTTGATAATAATTATATTATAGATTTTGTAATTGAATTCTTTATAATCGGCTCGTACACATTCGCATTTATAAACGCGATCTTTTTACAATCATGCGTTTATAGAAATATGCTTATTAACGTCACCGAGGGATTTAACAGACATATCTGCTGATGGAGCTTCGTCGAACAGAATGCGCGGATCATCAGCGTCGCGAACAACTGACTCGATTAAGTTCGTGAAATCGGAGAATCCGTATGCGATCTCTTAATGACTTACGAGTTTCGACGACGTCGTTGAACGTCGACGGAAACGGGGCGCGTTACATGTGGGCAGGATCGCGCAGCTTTGGGAAACTGGATCTCGAATTCGACGCTGTCGCGTTCAATGCACTTTGCACGCCCGAGAAGCGTCGCCGTTTCTAACATCTAGAGTCTAGACAATCAGCATCCGTTTCAGATATAAATTCAGGTGAAACCTCTTTCACAGCGACGCTCGATATCAATGACGGGGAAACACATCTAGATCGGGTATTCCTGCCATTGTTCGCTCTGTTCTTGGGTATCGTATCGCTCTGTGCTTTTCTGTCGAAGTCTACCAGCTTACCGTTACCTGAAACAAGGCTGACAATGACGATGAGGAGGGCTACGATTACGACAGCGACGACGACGACGACGACGACAACGACGACGACCACGACAACGTCGACGACGACGACGAAGACGATGACGACAGCAAGGTTCCATTTAATTAAGTTTGCATTGTACTGAACTGCACGCTGTGGCGAAAGATCCTTATCAAAGCCTTGCAAGATATGACGACGACTGTGAGTTGGTGCGCTTATCAGAGGCGATCTGTTCGAGCAAATGAACGAATAGCCATTTACGTTCGGAGATTCACTCCTAACGAGATCGAGGAGTCTATCGACAGTACTCCCTCTTCTGGTATCTAAGGAACGTACGTAGATACGCCGTACATAGGTATGCTAACTTCTACTTCCGTCCGAGACTGATTTCGATCATTCGGAAAGACAATAATTAGAAATCTCAGGAATTACTTAACTTTTGAGATAGAATATTATATGTGATTGATACAACTTGACGATTTTACTAGAGGAAAGTCGCTCTGACATAGATTTCCTAAAGGAACAAACAAGATAAATAAATTAACGTTCCTTCCATACTTCTTAAAATCGATACAAAATACTCCTTAAAATCGATGCAATAGAAATTTAAATGCAGCTGTTTAAAAAGTTTATTCCAAATATGATCGATTATTCTGCCGTAATAAATTCTGCCACTTTATCATCTCGCTGAGCGAAATGTCGATCGCACGATGAAGTTATCGATGAGTAATTAGTTATCATTTGGTAAAAATTAAAGAAAAATTTTATCATGTTGTACATGACGGTACGTGAAGTTTTGTTGATTCGGGATCTCGATAATCCCGTAATTTCAGCATTTTCATCTGTACATTAAATCAACCGTAAACACGCTTCTGCCATTCCATTTCCATGATAATTGATATTACTTATACTGCTATTGCTGTTTCAAATTATCGGAAACCGGAAAAAGGACATTCATTTAATGCGAATCTTGTTTATATGTACATACGTACAAACCATCGAGAGCTTATGGAATATTGGCTGCATTACAACGGAATTAATATAAAACGGACCTACTATATATAATGTATACCTATCTCACTTTTCTAAATTAATAAAGTTTTCGTAACTATGTGCCATAATTTTAACTCTCTGAAACAAACTGATGTAACGTTAATATGAAACTCCATAAATGTTGTAAAATTTTTCAAAAGTTTTCTATCTTACGTTACCTCTGGTTTGAAATTTCTTTAATATTTTAATGACGGTAAGCTAAGCCCGGATCAGAGTCGATTTAAAAGACGTGTTCGTGATTTAAGAATTGACTATTTCGCAGGTTTAGAAAATAATAATTTTTGCATTTCGTGGGTTTATTATCTACATCGTTTGTCGGCTTATCGTAGAAATCGCTAATAGCAGCCCTATTTATTTATGTTACTTCCCACTCGTTCGCAGTTTACAACTTTCTTTCAGCAATAAATTTTTACTCTTATATTATTTATCGGACTTGCTTGTAATATCCGGTTGTACATGTTTCTGATCTATCACGTTTATGATAAATGGCACGCTCAACGCTTAGATTTGCAGGTGATTTTCTCGCTTATATACGTATATGTGCAGGTAGCTATACCCGTTCTTTATCGTGTCGACGCTACATATTATTAAATCATCGATATACACGTCAAGAATTTTTCTCTTTATAGGAATATCAAACATTTGAATATCTTCCTTCTTCTTTTCTTAGTGCTTATTGATCTAAATAATTTTCTAAATTTAAAGTTTCTTTTTTTCGAGTCGTTTGAAGTTGTTTTACTCTGTTTTATTTTCAAGTCACGTAACGTACGGAAAGATGGTTAAAGTTAAAAGAATTTCCGCTCGTTTATTTTTATCGCGCTTAATCTGGGGATTCGAGATAATTATTTTGTTGGTGATGATGAAATGTTTCCATGCTGTTTTAATAAACCGTATCATGTCCAATGAAACCGGAAGCTTTAGCGTATAACAAATAATGGCAATGCAGCCGCAACGACAGCAGGGGAAAATGATTCAGGAACTCTTCTCCTTCTGGGAAATCCGTGGAATGTTTAATAGTTGCGTGAATTCACGGCGTCTCGGGTTGTATCGCTAATGAATTATCCGGTTACAGCGGGTCGCGGCTCTCCGAGGAAATCGATGTAACGTACTCCTACGTACGCTACGGTGCTCTTCTACGTGAACCGCATCGCGTACGTAAACACGAAGTACTGCAGTTTCAGTGAAGCGAATTGCGCCTCTTCTAGTTACAAACCGATAACTACCGTGCGCCGAACAACGCAATGTTCTAAAACGGCAATACTTGATTATTACATAATATTTCATTAACGTACTGATGCCATGAAGATGAAACAGAAAAGAATCAGCAACATTGCTTTAAATTGGATGTGTTATCTATAAATACGAGAAAGAAACTTTTTTTTATTTAAGTGATGCGAGAAAGTTGTTTATATATCGCTCAGTCTTCACTAATTATTTATTCACTAATTTATGTTTATCGTGACTAGTCATATTATTTTATATTACGGACTGAAATTTTGCTTTAAATTGATCTGGAGTGGAACATACATATGTCCATTAACATTATTTTAGGCCTTGCACTATTAGATATCAAAGGAGTATGATAACTAAATGTTTTAAGTTAAATAACATTTTGTTATTTTTAAGTTTCTTATAATTACATATAATTATCCTATGTACTTTCTTATAATTATTAAAAATGTGAAGCCATAATACGTTTTTGACGACATTTCTCTAACAAGAATCTTCCACTTCTGAGTTTACATTGACAGGATGTTAATAGCATCTTATAATTTCAATCATTAATTATAAACTAAGGATGACCAAGAAGAGACTCCAAGAAGAGTCGAAATATGTCATGATTAAATAATTATATTTATATTTAATTAATTAATCATTTATTATTTCATTTGTGCATTAATTACCATGCTGTACCACTTAAGATATTTGCGGCTTTCTTTCTTGATATTAATATCATGAATCGTATATAATTTGTTAAATGAAAAAGTTTAGAAAGAAAAGCTCTACTAAAGATATCTTAAAGTCGCATTAATCAATCAAATTCACCGGATGCCTTTTACGCTTTTTTTGAGCCATTTGTTCCGGATACATGTTGGATACATCTTGCTCGAGGCAGTCAAGACAATCCTACCGACTTGTATTGTTATTTCTTTTTCTCCTTGCGCTATTAGATGCGGGCAGAATAAAAAATGTTCGTGACACTGCGCGATTGTACCGAAATTTTATCGCGAACCTTTACCGCGTTATCGGAAATATCGGGCGTTCAAAGACACAACACTCTCGACAACACGGCATCGATCGAGGTTGCGGGAATCGCGGCGCGGAAGAAGAACCAGTTCCGGGTGAACGGCGGCGAAGCTGCGCCGCCCGACCCCGGCGGAGTTAAGTAATTTGTCGTTGCCGATGGGTTAATGTTATCCATCACTAAGCGAGAATTTACGATGTAATAAGGCCGAGTAGTGACTCCCGCGATCTATCTCGGATGTCTCGTCGTAGTAACCTCCTTTACTCATTCTATCCCCCGCCTTCTCCTTTTCTATCTCCTCGTCATCGTCTACTCTTCTTCAGTTCCTACTTATTGCAGTTACCATCGGCTTTTCTTATAATCTCTTCATTGCCCGCGACACGTCATGCCTCCTAAAAACCGGACTTCTCATGAGAACGTGCTATCGATTTACGATTAATTAATATTATCAGGTCAGTGGGTGAGGAGATTGGTGAGACCGTCGTGCGAACGGATAGTTATCGCCGAAAGATATTCCTCCGCTATCGTGTGATCACTCTCTGGTGCAGATGATTCTGCGAATGACTCTTGATTCGCTGAGAATCTTGATACTCAGTTAAAATCCGTTGGTACTGTGAATTCTCGTCATTACACGATCTTTCACGATACGTACTTCGTGGAAGGTATTACGGAACTGTTACTTTTTCTCTCGGTTACGGATTTTTTTATTTCCATTTGTCCTGAGAAAAAGTCGGCGGCGATCGAGGTAGTTGCGTTTGCTGATTTATGATGCAGAAGCTTTCTCTGTTTATTTTTAACAACAGTGAATTGTCGATGGCAAATAAAAAATATCGCCTTTAAAAACGTTACTCCGCAGATTCTCCGCAGTCCACGAATTAACTCTCACGGGGAAAGAAACTGTATATTTTACAACGTGGGTGAGAGAGGCGCAAGTTGCTTCTCCTCCTCCTGCTCCTCTTTCTCCTTTGGACACAAGCCGTCCGACAAATCGATCGCATTAAAGTTCGAAAGCTCGTACTGTATGGTGCTCGGTCACGATTGAGCCGACGAATGAGGCGGCAAAAGGTACGCGGGCAGAAGAAAGAAGAGCGTAACCGTTGCGTCCGGACGAACGTGATCAGCTGACATTTATTGCTGCCGTAGAACAATGCGGAGTCATTGCCCAGATCGCCCCAGCTACTATTATTGCCACCGTCCCTTGGAGACCCTCGAATGCTGGGCTCTGATCGCGACGCGAGAATATCCGGTGCGTGAACGCTATGATTGATAACAAGCATAATCGCCCAATGTCAAGGCTGATTGATATTTAAGAATTTTCCATAAAAACCAAACAAGTTTATTTTTTTAAAATAAATTCTAAATTATGACGTCAAATTGTTCTCTATTACTTACATGTTACATCGTGACCAATTTTTCCGGCAAGAATCAAACAAAAAATGAAAGTTTAAGAGTTTAACATTTGCAAAGGAAGTGTAGGAGGTTTTGTAGAAGGAAGAGCAATTTGTAACATTTTTTAAAAAATAAAAATATTTCTTGTATTTTAAATAATATTTCCTTCTTCATTTTTTTACTATTAATGTTATAAAAAAAAGATCGATTTAAAATATGGGACAAATATGTAGTAAATATAAAATTTTTGCAAGGTCAAACAAGTCCAGAGGATTTATTTATCTTTATTCTTAAATTTATTTTTATTCTTCGCATTTGATTTATTTTTATTTTTTAAATAGATTCTCAAAATATCATAGCCTACAACTTTGTTCTTATACCTATTACATCCGGATAAAAATAACTATATTTATACATTACACAAAACTACGGTTTGAAGATG